AAAAACCTTGTTCCCCCCGAAAATCTCAGCCCCCTCTGATAACACTTATAATTACTTGGATTATGTAGAAATACTGCAAACAATGAAGGCAGTAGTGGAATCTGGTAGCACAGTTATTACATTTTATTTGTATTTATATAAATTCAATTTTTCAAGTTTTTATAATTTGATTAGAAAAAATAACTGTTGAAATTTATTATATAAAGTCTCAATCTGGGAATATTTTTTATATGCTATAGCAGGTAAATATAAAACCCAAATTCAGACTTTTAGCATTCTGTCAGGCATTTAAAATTATATTGGGGGTATTTTTTTAAAAAGAACAACCTGATTTAATGTCTTAAAATATTTTTAATAGTTCAATTATCCACAGTATGACCATGTATTCCCCAGACCAGAAAGGAATGACAGTACCATAAAGACAGACTTTTCAGCCCAAGAAGGTTAAGAGAAAAAGAGTGGGGTGATCAACAACAACAAAAAACCCCAACAAACTAAATAGCTGAGATATTTTGAGACTAGTGAACAGATCCAGCTCAAATCCAAGACCTTATGAAGCTACATAATTATAAAGATTCTCCAACTTCCCTCAGTTTTGTTTTTTCTACCCCACTATACTACTGACATCTGTTTTCAAAGACTTCAGATTTGGTAACTGAAATTTGGCTTTACAGTTGGAACAGAGAACCTGATCTTTAATTTGCACATTAAAATCCAGGGCAAAATTCCCATTCCATGGATGGAATTGGGTTCTTAGTCAATAATTATCTGTTTTACTCAGACTTTCTTCCTTGTATTGTCCCAAGAAGTGGGGAACCATATATGTCATTAAAAATTATGCCATTGAAGAACAGATCTATTACACAGTGCATAGAAACATAGAGCCATACAATTTTTGTGGTTAATTTTCAGAATACAGACACATTTGAAGGTATGAAGATTTGAAGGATGTGATTTTGACTTTGGGTCTCCAGCCCATTTGTACCACTTTGTCAAAGTAGTCCATAAATTACCCAAGATGTTCATCTAGGACACGGTTACTTCTAAAGCATCTTAACAGTTCTGGGCTGGCAGAAAACTCCAATGGGACTTTTGTAGCCAGCATAAGTTAGAATAGCCCTGAAGCTGCTTTCACTTATGTTAGGGATCTAACTGAATCAGAGACATGCTTTGCCACCATCACAAACCCTTCACTGAGAATACTTCAACTGGACTCATGGATCTGGGCCTAAATTCCTAACCCTAAATGAGGCTTTAAAGGAGCACAGAGAAGTATATTTCACCTATACTGATGAAGACAGGAACAATATCTATTTTTAGAAATACTTTTACCCTTAAAAAATTGGTAAAGGTGAACCAAACTCTAGACAATTTTAAAGGCTCCCATTCCTTGTTTTCAGAAGGACCATGCTGATCTTATTGCAAATGGGACTGATTGCTGAAGCAATTTAATAAAAAAATATCAGTATCATTTAGCTGAAACAAAATACAGGACTATGTAGCACTTTAAAGACTAACAAGATGGTTTATTAGATGATGAGCTTTCGTGGGCCAGACCCACTTCCTCAGATCAAATAGTGGAAAAAAATATATACCAAAGGATACAATTAAAAAAAAAGTGAACACATATGAAAAGGACAAATCAAATTTCAGAAC